CTTCCAGCTGTGGGTAAGTCAGCAAAGCCGGTGTGTGCATGCTTCTGCTCGTGCAGCTATAGCAGACAGAAAACTCCAAGGTTAACGTTAATATAAAAAACCTTATTTTCTTGCATAATTAAGATCTATTATTTTTCCCTCATTGTTTGATGAATGAAGTTTTTGGAAAAGAACTATTTAAGTAGCTGTAATGTGAGATGAAGAAAGATGTGACTGGGAAACTGGAACCGTTACATCCTAAAAAACTGCCTAAATAAAATTATTTTAAAATACAGAAATATTTTTGTTTAGTAATGAATATGTTTGATCTTTATATTACTTGTATATATAAAAAACCTCTTTGTGTCACAGGATGCTGTTCCATAAGAAATATCCAAGCGCAGTAGCAATCAGAGGTAGTTAAGATAGAAGAGTTCAAATAGCTGAGGCTAACAGACAGTGCACAAGAGTGCACGCAGGTTGGAGTGGGTGGAGGTGAGACAGAAGGATACATGTGAGAGTAAAAGGGAAGGTAGTGAGACCTGCTGTGACGTATGGTTTGGAGACTGTGGCACTGATAAAACGACACGAGGCAGGATTTCACTGAGAGTGACCGGACAGGATTAGAAGCTAATATATCAGAAGAGGCGAGCCTGAGTTTGTTTGGACATGCGCAGAGAAGGGATGGTGGATATGTTTTAGAAAGGATGTTTAATACCAGGCGGGAGGAAAAGAGGAAGAGCTCAGAGAAGATGTGTAGAGGAGGAGGACCTGCAGATGGTGACCTCTAAAGGAAGCAGCTGAAAGAAGAAGTGGTTAACATTCGTGTTAGTGGTAAAGATAAAGCAGGGTGTTTCATCATATTAGGGCTGCAACAAATAAATATTCTAACCTCTGATTAATCTTGGTGATTAATCATTTTGAAGTACATTTTAAAAAGCAGTTTAAAAGACACGTTTTTACCATCCTTGTATTTTGTGATTATTATGATTCAGTTGACTTATTTACTGTGGCTCACATGCAAAACTCACATCTGCACTTCAGTTCCCCTCTTCTGTTACACCTGTGTGTTCCCCACCATCTCCCCTCTGGACTGCATCACATTCCCCCTGAAGTGTCCACCCGGGCAGCTCTGCCTGTCCAGCCGAGCCGTGGGTGAGAAAGGTGAGTTCAACTCGAGTCACTGAAAGTCAAATTTAAATGAATCAAAACTGAGAAAAAGAAGCGAGAAAGGTCAGCGCCCGGCTCGGGGAGGAGTGTGTCAGTGTTATTTGCTTCTTTCTTTCAGGGGACTTCCGTGTGGTTTTGTACGAGAAGAGCTGCGTCCTGCCCTCCCTGTGCGGAATCACGGGTGAAAAATACGCGCTGGGACTCAACTTCACCTTCACCAATGAATGCTGCAACACTCACTTGTGTAATGGCGCTGCTACATCTGCTGCCCCCTACTGGATTGGGACATTATTCACACTTCTAACTCTGTACTCCGTTTGGTGAATAGTCAACGTTATAAAGCAGATAGAGTTCCTATTTCCGCCCTCTAATGGACAAAAGCTGTACTAAACTTTTTTTAAACAATATATTTATTTATTTTTACTCTAACAGTAAATCGGTAACAATAAGGCAAGCGCACCAGTGTAGTTCAAGTTCAAGTTCAAATTTTATTCGCCACATGCAGTGGTAGGTTGCCCTGCAGTGGAATGAACCCACCCCCCGACCTTACACACACGACACAGAC